GAGAGAGAGAGAGAGAGAGAGAGAGAGAGAGAGAGAGAGAGAGAGAGAGAGAGAGAGAGAGTTCTCAAAGTACGCTTGGGCAAATGGAGGACTCGAAATGCTTCACAATCATACAATCAAGATGCTACATTTCTGAGAGTGTTGCTCAGTTCAGTTCTGCTTTCTGCCAGGTGTGAACCCAAAGAGGGACGTGTGCTTTTGAACTGAGAGTGTCGCTCAGTTCAGTTTTGCTTCTGTCCCCGCGACAAGTTCTAAAGCATGAAAGTAGACCTTCCCACTTGCCCTAGACATTTTGATGGTTGATACGTGATGATTGAACATTATTCTTATCGTCTGTTATATTTGGTACGTGGATGTTGTGTGCTCAGGGCAAGTGGGGAGGTCTACTTTCATGCTTTACAATTTTAGGTGAGGACAGGATTTAAGGGTTATTCTTGGTGAAAAAAAAAAAAAACAGAAAAAAAAAAAAAAAGGTTTATTCTTGGCAAAGCACTTGGACTGGATTGAGGACCGAAGGGTTGGTCCGATGCTGTGCTAATTGCTAAGTGAGCTTAAAGAAAAAGGCAGGAAAAACGAAGAGGGAACGGAATAGAAGAGGTGGTATCGAGCATGGAGTGAAGGACTTGCGGAAAGGATGGGAGTGAGCATAACAGAGGGAGCGTCTACAAGGAGGGAGGAGTGGATCAATGGGCTTTGCCGGAAAAGAAGTCTTGACTCTTGACCGTGCAATTCATTCTTCAGCAGCCATCAGAGGGAGTCTACTGGCTTGGCATGAAAAGGGGCCAGTGCCCGGATAGAAAATCGGGGCGTCAAATGGTGAGAAGGCGAGGCGTACGATGAGTTGCGCGCCACTGGAAGATGGCATGTCTGGGATCTCAACGTTGCCTGCTGGAGGAGGTTGTGGTGGTGGATGGGGGCCAAGCACCAAGCTCAAGGGCATCCATGGATGTCCGTCTCTCAGCAATCCTCCCTTCCAGTGGGATTAGGAGGAGATTAGCAGTCTCTCTCTCTCTCTCTCTCTCTCTCTCTCTCTCTCTCTCTGTGTGTGTGTGTGTGTGCGTGTGTGTGTGTGTATATATAGATATAGATATAGATGTACCGTCAAACAGAGCTGCTCAGTAAACCGTAGGCAGAGAGGGAGAAGAGGACAAGAAACGAGGGCCCGCGCTGTGACAAACTGTTTCGTCGGAGTTTCGACAACTCATCAGGAGGCCTATGGTTTACAGGCAGCCCTGTTTGACAATATATATACATATATATGAGGGTTCAGCCTCCTGATGAGTCGGTGAAACTCGGACGAAACAGTTTGTCACAGCCCCTCGTTTGTTGTCCTCTTCTCCCTCTCTGCCTACGGTTTACCGGGCAGTTCTATTTGACTATATATATATATATATATGGACGGACTCATTCTTGAGCCTTTTCTTATCCTCTCCTTTGCCTTCATCTTCACTCCACACTCCGTACTTTCCTGTCCTTTCCCTTTATCGTTCTTTGTTTGTCTGCTCTCCATCTCTCCTCCCTGTGTTTATCCCCTCCCCCTTCACTCTGCCTCTTTCTCACAGCATACAATACAAGTGGGCCGTTATAGTACATGGGGATGGGGGCAGCTCGCGCTCAACTTCATCAATGTGGCGAGCCTTGTATATATTACGAGCCTAGTCCTAAAGCTAAGTTACACACCAAAACTTCAATGAAGTACCAAATTTGTCCTAATTTCCAGGGGCCAAAAGGCCTCAGCCCTCAACCTCAGGTTTGAGCCGTGCCCCCTGTAGCAAATGGACGGAAAAAAAAAAAGGAAAAAAGGACAAACCGTACCTTACTCCTAGGGCGTACTCACACTAGGACTTTATTACTTAGTTCAGGATGTAGTTGCGGCCAGATGCGTCGAGGTCTGTGCGGCATAAATGCGCTCAAACTTCAAACAGGATTGCCAGGCCGAATGTATGGAGGCCCCTAAGCTGACCCCCGAACGTTCGGGCGTTCGGGTCCCCGTTCGGGGTCCAAACCTGAAGGGGTTTGGACCCCGCAAAAAAATATTTTGGCACCTAAATACTGTTATTTTTTTTTTGAATTTTGTTTTGTGAGTTCTTTGTGATGTAAGGTATCTCCCTCTTAATTTTGAAGCCATTCTGTTGAGCCAAAAAAAAAAGAAAAATCTCCAAAGATGGCGGTGTCAAAAACGTGCTCGCCCACTCAATAATTTCATTCTCGTTTTATTTTTTCTAATTTTCATTATTATTATTTTTTTTTAGTCTTTGATTTTTATTTCGAATTTGGTAAAGAATTTGGATGTAACGTTGAGGCAAATGTTGTTCAGTTTTATTCTTCTGCATAACTTTTTTTTTTTGCCAGATTTTCTGGAATTCTTTTTCTTTTTTTTTTTTTTACGGTCCGCTTTCGGCCGAACGGCCGAACGCGTCGAGAGGGGGTGGTGAACTTTCGGGCGTTCGGGTTCGGGTTCGGTTTCGGGTTCGGGTTCGGGTTCGGGCGCTCAGCCCATCCCGAACGCAGGCAACCCTGCGTTCAAATACATTTACACCACCAGTACTTCGTAA